CTACAGTTTCGCCGACGGCTGCCGGCTTCTTCAGGCTGACGCTGATGGTGGCGCGTCACTTCCTTCTCCATTTATCTGCGGGCAGCAGAGGACGTTGTCGCCCTCTACTGCCCGCTCTCCCCTCTCCGACGATGCAGTCCCATGCGTCGTCCAGCGTGTAAACTCCGCCGTCCCTGTTCATGGTCCCACATCCACGTCTCCTTATCTCGATTGCTTCCTTGATCCATCTTTTGTATTTTTGTTGTTCGGTGGTTATGATCCGTGTGCTGTCCCAGTCCATTATATGGTTTTCTCTTAAGCAATGATCTGTTACGGCTGACTTTTTTATTGTACTTTCTGCTTCTTCTTTTGCTGCTCTTGTGTGTTTACGATTTGCCTCTTTCTCGCACTCCTTTCTGTGTTCTATTGTACGTGTATTGAGTTGGCGTCCGGTTTCTCCTATGTATGTTTTATTGTATATTTTGCATGGGATTTCGTAGATGACTCCACATTTTTGTCCAGCTGATATTTTGTCTTTTGGGTGTACTAGTCTGTTTCTAACTGTTGTGTACGGTTTTGTTGGTGTGTTTACCAACAAAACCGTACACAACAGTTAGAAACAGACTAGTACACCCAAAAGACAAAATATCAGCTGGACAAAAATGTGGAGTCATCTACGAAATCCCATGCAAAATATACAATAAAACATACATAGGAGAAACCGGACGCCAACTCAATACACGGACAATAGAACACAGAAAGGAGTGCGAGAAAGAGGCAAATCGTAAACACACAAGAGCAGCAAAAGAAGAAGCAGAAAGTACAATAAAAAAGTCAGCCGTAACAAATCATTGCTTAAGAGAAAACCATATAATGGACTGGGACAGCACACGGATCATAACCACCGAACAACAAAAATACAAAAGATGGATCAAGGAAGCAATCGAGATAAGGAGACGTGGATGTGGGACCATGAACAGGGACGGCGGAGTTTACACGCTGGACCACGCATGGGACTGCATCGTCGGAGAGGGGAGAGCGGGCAGTAGAGGGCGACAACGTCCTCTGCTACCCGCAGATAAACGGAGAAGGAAGTGACGCGCCACCATCAGCGTCAGCCTGAAGAAGCCGGCAGCCGTCGGCGAAACTGTAGCTACAAACAGGTAAACAAAACTGTTTCTGTGTTTAAAAAAGAACGAAAGCATGGAAGACAGTTGTTGCTTTAGCAACTTCACCACACAGCAGAACTCCTTCAGGTTTGAGTTGTTTGTGGAGATAGCACATCAATGTTGCAAAGCAAAATGAGTCAGTGGTAGAGTTGCATTGCTGTTAGCCAATCAGAGGTGAGATATCCAATTATCTGGAAATAATACCCCAAATCCTCTCGTCTGTAGCTACTTTCTCTTCCAGCTGAATTCTCCATGTTTTAACAGTCGCACCAGAGCTTTTTAATTCACCCGAGTACGACTTACAAGTTATTCATTCCGACTAGAGACCATTGCAAATGTATTAAAAATTACTCTGTTACTGTTCTCTGTCACCTTGGTGCTCACCATGTGGTTTCCAATAGTAGAAGTCCACTTTGGTCCAATTTGGACCAGCCTTTAGTTTATTCTACCAGTCAGAAACATTCAGTCTCTGTAAACAAAAGGTAGGATATTACTGTTTCATAACATTTAAATGAAACTTGCCTTAAAAACTGTGAAATGGTCCTTTATACGGTGTACTTGGCACAGGAATTAAGTGTTCGCCCCGTAATTGGAAGGTTGCAGGTTCGAGCCCAGCTCAGTCTGTCGCTGTCGTTGTGTCCTTGGGCAAGACACTTAATCCACGTTGCCTGCTGGTGGTGGTCGGAGGGACCGGTGGCGCCAGTGCTCGGCAGCCTCGCCCCTGTCAGTGCGCCCCAGGGCAGCTGTGGCAACATTGTAGGTCCTCCCCACCAGTGTGTGAATGTGTGTGTGAATGGGTGAATGACTGATTGTGTTGTAAAGCGCCTTGGGGGGTTCCAGGACTCTAGAAGGCGCTATATCAAATACAGGCCATTTACCATTTTACCATTTACTTTTGTATATGGAGATGGATGATTGGATGGATGGACTGTGTTATTTTTTTATTATAGATTAAAAAAAACTTTCCACTTCATTATTTCCACTAAAACATGATAAAAACTTATTTTTTTTAATTCACAAAAATAAACTATTTGCGTCACAGCTATTTCCTACATGTTGGAAAGCTTAAAACCACAAATCTGCTCACCCCTCTTTGTTGTTTACTACAGCCGTTGTATTTTGAATGTGTCTTTGTGTCTTTGTCATCAGACCGTTTCAGATCATTATTGCTATTGTTAGTGTTATTGCATCAGACTGTTGTTTTTATTAGGAGCTCCAGCCACAGCGAGCTGCGGACTAATGAATCAATATGAGTGGAGCAACAAAGAAGTTAGACATGAATAGTCAAAGATAAATTGTCAGCAGCCAGATGCTGAGTGAGAGAACAGCTACGCTCTCTGCTTCTCCTCTTCTCTCTGCTGCAGCAGAAAAAAGGCGTGTGAAAACATTATCATGCTGGGGAAAAAAAGGGAAAAATCTAATCTAATAAGGAGCACGGGGGATTTGACAGAACATCTTAAAAGAACAAACTTGCATGCACACATAGTTGATGGAAACGAAATCAGATCTCTGGAGAAAATCTAAAGATTTGTTTTCTAGATTACTGCCAGGATTCGGTTTGCTCAGCCAGTTTCTACTCGCACATTTCAAATGATAGTTGACTGAAACGTGTGCTAGCACTTTAACGAGTCAACAGCACAGAGTAATCCTTCAGCCCTGCAGAAAATATTCCAACATCGGTGAAGAAAATGATACTTCTTTTTGCCGGTTAAGGGAAGGACTCAATTCTGAGGAGAAATTGTGACGTTGTTGTATTGTGCTCAACCAAACCACCTAAACTGTGCAGAGTTCACTACAAGGCTGAATGTTCTATTGAGTCTTACAGAAAATAAGTGGCTTTGATCAAAAAGCTTGTGAATTATTTTACTGCTGTTATCTTCCCCTGTCCTTCAGGGACAACACATAACTGAATAGAGAGAAGATGGGGGCTGGGGGCGGGGGGGTGGGGGGGTGGGGGGGGGAGAGAAGATGGGGCCTGGGGGGGGGGGGGGGGGGGGGGCTCTGTTTCAGCCACACAACCATCAGTGGGGCTAGACACAGACACTGATGTCTCGAATGCAATGCTCCATATTAGCTGATAGAGGAGTGATGAGGTGTCTGTGCACAGGACAGTCACGTTGCTCCATGTCGAGTGGAGAAAAACAGCATTTCCTTCATGTTTACATCAATTATGTTGAAAACTGAAAAACTCTCAAACTGTATGATGAGGAACTAAAATGTCTGAGAAAAACAAATACAAGTGAACTATGAGGAGTGTCTAGTAGTAGTAGTAGTAATAATGATAGTAATAACAACAACAACAACAACAATAATAATAATTATTATTATTATTATTATTATGACAACCATAATAATAATAATAATTATTATTATTATTATTATGACGATAATAATCATAAAGCTATATTGATGTAAAGCAGTAAAGTTAAACGTTTATATTTTAGCATCTCTTTTGAACATATTTATTTAATTTATTTAATATTAAGTGCAATTCAGTTGATGCTTCATGTGGCTGAGGTGCACCACCAGCAGGCAAGGTGGGTTAGTTGCCTTGCTCAAAGACACAACAGCAGCATTCTCTGGTCAACCTGCAACCTTCTGGTTACTGGACAACCCGCTCTATACCTCCTGAACTACTGCTGTCCATAAAGTAACACTAACTAGGTTTTTGAACATTAAATTGGAGCTTTAACATTGGTCTCAGTGATTGTTGGGTTAGAAACTTGACCAGTTTCATATTTGACACCACTCTGCTGGCCAAATACTGCACCTAACAGTTTGTGGAGGGGTGTTCTAGGGGGCGCTCTTATACATGCATTACGACTGTTTGCTTTCTGTGCAGTTAGCTTTTTCAGTTTGCTGATCGTCAATAAAAAGCACAAGAAGAAGAACAAGTTTGCCTTTCTGTTGGCATCATGGCAAAGCCTGGAAGTAAAAGTAAGAGATTAATGTCTTTGGAGGAGACGCAAAGAGCCAAAACCAGATTAAACATCCTACACTAGTATGAGGAAGCTGATAAAGGCTATAAAATCACTGACTGATGATGACATGGCTTTGTTGTTACGGGACTTTTTGATTTGTGGCTTATTTAGTAAGCTAATATTTGTATTAGCTTGTTTGTAGCGCTAGCGATAGCAGACTGCTGCTGGGTTGTTTGCTGGGGGGGTATTAAAATAAGTGCGCGCACACACACACACACACACACACACACACACACACACACACACACACACACACGATTACATCTTTCAGTGACTCTTAGATCGGGGAATATTTTGACACTGATATTTTGCACCTGCCCAATTAGTAAAGGAATGAAATATGCAGCATAAAACTGTGCCCTTGTACTGGATTTTTTTTTAGATTTGATCAGTGAAACGCTTAACTAACAAGTATAATGTCATAATTTAAATTATTATGTGATCCTAATTAACCCAGAGATTAAAAATAATCCAGCCATATGGCGCCACTGATCTTTAAAACACAAAGAGAGCTTTTGTCTCAAGAGACATGATGATGTCACATTAGCCCAACATATACAGTTGTTCAGCTCACTGACAACAGAGGTGGCAGCGCGCGTGCACATTTTTCTCCCGTGCGTGTAGCTGTTCTCCCACCAGCAACACGCGCGTAAAGGGCGTTATTAAAAAATATATAAAATAAATTCTGATAAATAAAACCATTACTTATCGATGTGATTTGATGATCAACAGTTCGGGAACTTGTTTGCAATACAGAAAGGAAGGGAAACGGCAGATATGTGCTTGGAGCATGGACGTATTTTTAATTCTAAAGCGAGGGGATTGGTCACACTTGGTCTCATTAGCATGAGGAGCTGTATAAACCCCGCCGCTGCAGAATTTGGAGCTGTGTTGAAGGCGAGGCTTCGAGCGCGTCTGGCTGGCTGCGCGTAAAAGGACCCAAACTTTCACTTCCCAGTACAGCTCTGTTGTTTAAAGCAGGAGGCTGCGCGAGGAGCTCGCCCCAGATGTGAACTGCTCTCGGTCACACGATGAGGCTCACCGAAGGAGAAATAACCACCAAAATGATGAGGGTCACTTTTCTAACCTACTGGCACCGGTGGATTGTTATTTTCTCACTCTATCATGCTTTATTTGCCTCATGGGCTCACTCCGAGGGAAATACTGTGAGATACCAGACTCGAGAGGAGGACGCACCGGGGACTGTCATCGGAAATCTCGCCAAGGACATGTCCTTGAGTCTGTCTCATGCGTCCAAGACCAATTTCAGAATGATGAAACAATTTAATGACTCGTTTATTAGGGTGCGGGAAAGCGACGGGCAACTGACCGTCGGGGAGCGCATAGACAGAGAGAGGATCTGCAGGCACACTCCACAGTGTCTGATCACTTTTGACGTGGTTAATTTCTTCAAAGATCGCTACAAATTGATCCACGTTGAGGTGGAAATAAAGGACATCAATGACAACTCTCCGGAGTTTCCGAGCAAGGAATCTGTGGTGGAGATCTCCGAGAACGCACCGCTCGGGTCCCGAATCCCCCTGGACCCCGCAGCAGACGCGGACGTCGGGTCAAATTACATCCAGAGCTATCAGATTTCTGTAAACAGTCATTTTACTATTGATGTGCTCCTGAGAGCGGATGGGGTTAAATATGCGGAGTTGGTGCTGATGAAGGAGCTGGACAGAGAGACTCAGTCTTCTTATAATTTGGAACTGGTCGCCACGGACGGGGGGAACCCTTATAGATCCGGATCAACAAAGATCACAATCAAAGTGACTGACTTTAACGACAACAGCCCCGTGTTTGACAAAAACAGTTTCTCAGTCAGCCTGCCAGAGGACGCGCCGGTCGGCACCGTCATCCTGGACCTGAACGCCGTCGATGCCGATGAGGGACTAAACGGAGAAGTCGTCTACGGCTTCGGGAAACAGGTTTCTCACGAAATCCGAGAACTTTTCCAAGTGGATAATAAATCGGGCCGCGTGACGCTCAGGAACGTCGTGGATTTTGAAGACAAAAGCACCTATGAGCTGGACGTGCAGGCAACGGATCTGGGACCGAATCCGACCCCCTCCGTGTGTAAAATCATAATTCACGTCACGGATGTTAACGACAACGCTCCAGAGATCAGCGTCACCCCGATGACCTCCGTGGCGACCGGCGTGGCGCACATCAGCGAGGCGGCAGACAAGGACAGTCTGGTGGCGCTGATCAGCACCATGGACAGAGACTCGGGGATCAACAGTCAGGTTCACTGCACTTTGTATGGCCACGACCACTTCAAACTCCGGCAGGCGCATGAGGACAGCTACATGATAGTCACAGCGGCTGCTCTGGACCGGGAGCGCATCGGTGAGTACAACCTGACGGTCATGGCTGAGGACTTTGGGTCACCTCCGTTGAGAAAAATCGCACAGTTCACCATCAGACTGAGCGACGAGAACGACAACGCCCCCCACTTTGCTAAATCCGTCTATGAAGTTTCAGTGGTGGAAAACAATGCCCCGGGCGCCTACATCACCACGGTGGAGGCCAGCGACGCGGATCTGGGCAACAATGGGAAAATCACCTACAGACTTTTGGATGGTGCCATCATGGGATCCCCGGTGAACACATTTGTGTCCCTTAATTCCGTGTCCGGCTCCATTTATGCGCTGAGAAGTTTTAATTATGAGGTGATGAAACAGCTGGACGTTCACATCCAGGCCAGCGATGGGGGGTCACCACAGCTGCAGAGCACAGCTACCATTCGATTAAAAATAATCGATCAGAATGACAACCAGCCTTATATTATAGAGCCCCCACTTTATAAGGGATCTGCTGAGGTGTTCCTTCCCAAAGACGCCCCTGCAGGCTATGTGGTGACTCAGATAAAGGCCACAGATGCTGATGAGGGCATAAATGCACAGCTGTCCTTTAAAATCACAGAAGGGGGGCACCTGGGTTTCTCCATCAACAAGGACACTGGGAAGGTGCTTGTGAGTCGACAGCTGACGTATGACATCTCAGACAATGTCAAAGTCACAGTGGCAGTCAGCGACAATGGATCCCCCTCTCTAACCTCCACAGCTATGATCATTTTCAGCTTCATCGAAGGCACGCTGCCCAGTTTGCCCTCATTGGCTCAAAATGACAACGAGGAGCCCTTTGAATGGGACACGTCTATAGCTATAATCATCGTCCTGGCAGGGAGCTGCTCTGTCCTCCTGCTGGCCATCATTCTCATCACCACCATTTGTAGTCGCCGAAAAAGGGAGACCAGGGAGGGGGGGTTTGATGAAAAGATGGACATACCAGATGTGGAGAAGGTGGAAAGTGGCCATATTGATTCATTGATAGCCAACCACAAAGGCAAAACGTTTGATACGCACCCGTTTCCAGAGGGTCTCCCGGTGGCCAGCAGCAACACGACAGAGGCCAGCTGTGAGGAGAGCAGACAGACAGCAGGGGTCTTTGAGTCCAACAGCAGAGCAACAGAGGGAAAGTTAAAGGTATTTTCTAATGAAGTTAAAGGAACTCTGACTTTAATTTTATTGAAATCTGACACAAAATGTTTGTTTTTGTATTTTTGCAGGGTTATTCCACACTTCCTGGATACGGGAAAGAGACCATGAGACCCATAACCATATGGAAGGGTAATTCATTCACAACTATCTCTGCAAGAGATCCTCAAATCAGTGGCAAGGACAGTGGGAAGGGGGACAGCGACTTTAACGACAGCGACTCTGACATCAGCGGAGACATTCACAAGAAAGAATCTCCACCGATGAACAGTGAGTGTCACGCCTTTGGGCATGAGCTCACTTTGATTTTTAGCGCCAAACACAATGCTCTGTTTGCTCTTGTTGGTCTGTTTTCCCACAGGTCTCTGGGCGTGCACGAGCGAGTGCAAAGTTTTGGGCCACTCAGATCGATGCTGGAGTCCATCGGCCACCAGGCCCAACACCAGTCTGGCCTGTGGACCACATCTGTCAACGTTCTCCAAAACAGCAACTCTCCCGCGGGATGCAAGGAGGGAAAACTACTACCCAGCTCACTTACCCAAAACGGGTGGCCTGCAAAGCGTATATGAAAAAGTTCAACACCAGGAGTTTGATTATATTCTCGTAGGCCCTCCGACGCCAGCCAGAATACAGGAAACAGACGAGATATCCATCCCAGAGTACACAAACTCTTAAGAGACACTAAAGAACAAAAACAAGTGTAATTTAAAGACGTTGTACAGTACTTTACTCCAATCTGACTGTGTTGGATTGTTGCCGTGTTTCAGTACCGTGTCGTGTGTATTTTGGCTCATATATGACTGTTCATTGTTTTATGCGTAATATGCAAGATTTTCTACATTAATAATATATTTTTCATAAGAGTCCAATGTACAGAAAATTTTTATTATGACTTTTTAAAAAGCATGTGTCATTATTCAAGGGCATGACCTTTGGAAAGGACATAAGAAACAACGACAGGCCTTTTTGCTGTGGAAAACAATCAACATGAACAGTGTTTGTGGTGGATTTTATAACAATGTTGCACAAATAAAAAGCTGAAATAATTTCTGCTTTGCTGTTTAACAACATGAAAACAAAAAATAAAAAAATAAAATCAAGGCTTACTGGCAAACTTAAAGTTTCATTCTACATTTAGTCTGCAGAAAAAAACTCATGAAGTCAAGAGAATAAGCTCAATTACCCAACTGTATGCATTTTATTTGCCTCAAAGGCAAATAAGCTGCAGTAAATAAAATAAAGTTCTCCAGCCATTACTGTTAAACTGATAGCAAGCAAAAACCAATCTCATTGTCTTCTCATTGTTCACAGTGTGGTTACCGTGCTGCCTCAATTTGCATGCAAATATGGCACCGCTGTTCAAATTCTACAACAATTGCATATTTTTCAAAGGTCAAAGCATCCCCTCACCTCCTGTGATTGCCTCCCAGCTTACCAATTATCCCAAAAAACGTTATTTAATCTTGTTTCCAAGCAACAGCAGCAGCACACATTTGAATCTCTTTCTTAGCTATTTTTCTTCTTTATAAGTTTTAATAAAGACCAGGAAGCCTTGACCACAAGTCTTGAAATCACAAAATTCATAATTAAGCAGAGGATTTTTTTTTCCCTTCTGGGTTGCTGTATTATTTCAAGTCCTTGCTGTCCTCCAGCATATTGTGTGAATCCATGGAGCTAGAATAATGAAACCGAGTTTGACTTCAGCTTCCATTCCTGCTGACACGCAGGCAAACAACTTACGGAAATCTGCAGCACCCACATAAAAAATGTATGTTAACAGTGGCGCTTGACAGTTTGGGAATCTTTAAAGAAAAACAATCTGCATTTCTGCATAAATATGACCTCAAACTATGTCGTATTGCAACAAATATTTGAAAGTAAATAGAAAAACAACTAAACAAATGATGCAATGATATTATACATGCTCATGTGTTTGTTTAGGAATATTACACTTCTAGAATTAACGGTTAATTTGAAGGCGAATATAGAGTTGACTGTTGCCATCTGCTTGGCTGATTACACCGTCAGGATAGAACTGAACGGTGTGCAGAGCAGTGCTGCGGGAAAAGAAACAACTTCTCCAAAAGGAAAATGCTGCCTTTTTGTATGTTGTGCTGCGACGATATGCCAATGTCTGGAAATTAAAAAAATGTCATGTTAAAAAAACTGGAATATTTCCAAATAAAAATAAATGGGATCAAACTGCTTTAAGCCAAAGTGAAAGTAAATATTTACCTGCAGTTATTTTCTACTGTCATGTTCTGTGTCCCTCTGTCCACAGCCTCCTCCTGTTCTCACTCCAGGTTCTCCTCTTGTGTCCCATTATTATCCTCAGCCCTCTCTAGACTTCCCTCAGGTGTCCTCCTAATCACTTCCTAATAATTCCTAGTCAATCTTATTTTAGTCTTCCTCATCCATCTAGTTATTAGTTGTTTATTTTTGCCCTCAGTCTTTAGGTTTAATTTTATCCGTGTTTTTCTGCCGTCCTGCTTGTTTCTTTCCCCTCATTTAGGTTATTGTATGCACCTGCCTTCCCTCCAGATCTCCCTCCTCACACCTGTCACCTGTTCCCCTGATCACCTCCCTCTGTGGTTAAAAACCCTGTCTTGTCCTTCAGTGTTTGTCGGTCCATCGTTGTGTCTACGTTGTTCTGCTCCCTCCCGAGTTTTGCCCGAGTCCGTGCTCAGTTGTGAGCTTCTGTTTTGTTTTTGGACCGCTGGATCAAGCCTCCTCCTTTAAATAAAGGGTTTACTTATTTACGTCTGCTCCTGTCTCGTGTGTTCTGCGTTTTTGGGTCCAAACCTCGTGCTCAGCGTGACATATACAGAGAGAATTTAAAAGGCAAAGGTTCACAGATTTCTGGCCTTGAGCTGGTTTAGATTGTATTGTTTGGACATGATGGTATGTGTGGTATATTTTTCTTCTGCCTTTTAATATTTGACTTGGGCATCCCACAGGGTTCGGTACTGGGACTCCTGTTTTTCTATTTATATTCTGCCATTGGGTGACATCCTGTGGAAGAATGGAATTGGGTTCAACCTATATGCTTATGATTACCAACTATGCTTACCCTTGGATTACTCTGGAGATCACCCATTCAGAAATCTTTTGGATTGTTTGGCTGAAGTCAACGCGTGGATGCCTGAGACTTTCCTGTGGCTTAATGAAAACTGAACAGAGGCAGTGTTGTTTGGGCCTAACGGCCATACTGATCCTTCCCATGTTGACAGTGGGGAATTAAATTCCCACCTGAGTGTTTCAGTGGTTAATCTTGGCATGAAGATTGATAATGATGGTATCTTATTTTTATCTTTTCATCTTTGTCATCATTTGCGATGCTTGGCTAAGGTAAAACCATTCTTGACTAGACGGTACTTTGAGACTGCTGCTCATGCCGTCATTACTGCAACTTTGTCTTATTTGGTTTGAGTTAGAATAATGTAGCTCACTTGCTCACTTGAGGGTAGCAGTAGCTCAGGAGGTAGAGTGGGTTGGCTTATGATCAGAGGGCTGTGGGTTCAATTCCAGCTCCTACTAGTGGTCACCTGCTGTTGTGTCCTTGGCAAGACGCTTTTTTGTATTTGTATTTTTTATATTGTATTTATTTCCATCATAGCAAATGCATATAAAACACATGAAAAGGAAAATAACTATCTAATAAAGAACATAATAATTATCACAGGTACAAATTCCTCTTGTAAATTAAACAGTTTCTTTATGTATAATTTATGAGCAAAAAGGTATAGGCTGAAGTTAAACTTATTTAAGCCTACCCATTAATTCATTACAAAAAAAATCAACATTGTCATAAATATCAAAAGTAAATGAACATATAAACAATACAGTTATTACATGTAACATCCTAATTTCAACAAAATCAGTCAAGAGATATAAACATGAATAAAACAAAACCAATTGCAATCAATCAAGAGGTATAAATGTGTGACAAAACTAATTTTGGTGCACTTGGTAATTACGTAAGGCATTATTTTTAAAACTCTTTTTGAATATTTTCAATGAGCATGAATTCTTTAATCTATCCTCGAGGTTATTCCATAAACTCGCTCCTCTTACTGAGATACATCTTTGGTTTTTATTGGTTCTAATATTCTTTTTTTTTTTGAAAATCCCAGTTCCTCTTAGATGATATCCTCCTTCCCTTAGTTCAAACATCCTTTGGAGATAAGGTGGAAGTTGAGCCTGATATGCCTGATATACTACAACCAGTGCATGCAGGTCAATAATATCGTAAACTTCTCTGTGTTGGTGGTGGTAAGAGGGGCCAATGGCACAAAATGGCAGCCTCGCCTCTGTCAGACCACCCCAGGGTAGCTGTGGCCAAATAGTAGCTTACCATCACCGACTATATACTTACAATCCATTATTTATTTAATTTTGTTCAGAATGCTGCAGCGAGATTCTTGGAGGGCAAGTGAAAATATGAACATGCTTTACAGCGGTTAATTGTATTTTTTTTTTTGCCTAGAAATCGAGATAAACAGTAGCCCAAACTAAGAGATTTTGCTTTGCATATCAGTCTAGCCACGCTCCATTGTAACCTCAGCAGGCCCGAACAGTCTTGTGCCTTGCCTCTATTGGTTTGGTGGGCCAATCACAGTGCTCATCGGTTTGGTGGGCCAATCACAGCGCTCTATCGGTTTGGTGGGCCAATCACAGTGCTCTATCGGTTTGGTGGGCCAATCACAGTGCTCTATCGTTTTGGTGGGCCAATCACAGTGCTCATCGGTTTGGTGGGCCAATCACAGTGCTCATCGGTTTGGTGGGCCAATCACAGCGCTCTATCGGTTTGGTGGGCCAATCACAGTGCTCTACCGGTTTGGTGGGCCAATCACAGCGCTCTATCGTTTTGGTGGGCCAATCACAGTGCTCATCGGTTTGGTGGGCCAATCACAGCGCTCTATCGGTTTGGTGGGCCAATCACAGTGCTCTATCGGTTTGGTGGGCAGGATGTTACTGCGACTGAGAGAAACTAAGAGGGGGACAGTTCATTTGAAACAGCTTTGCCATCAGCTTTTGACTATTTAAACTTGGGCTTTTCTTTAAGTTAAAGTTTTCTTTATGTGCCCACCTCGTAACCGAAAGGTTGCAGGTTCGAGCCCCACTCAGTCTGTTGCTGTGTCCTTGAACAAGACACTTAACCCACTTTGCCTGCTGGTGGCGGTTGGAGGTGTCAGTGGCACCTGTGCATGGCAGACTCGCCTCTGTCAGTGTGCCCCAGGACAGATGTGCCAACAATGTAGCTCATCACCAGCAGGGTGGGAATATGTGTGTGAGTGAATGAATGAATGATTGATTGTGTTTTAAAGTGCCTTGGGGGTTAGGACTCTAGAAGGCACTATATCAAATATAGGCAAAAAAAGAGCAGATAGAGGTATTTAAGTATTTTGTTTAGAAAAATGATGTGTTTGTGTCTTCTTCAGCAGTGTATGGTGCACTGCCCTGTTGACTGACATCAGTAGCGGTGAGTGTGTCACGTTGTTTGTTGTCCAATAGTATGTGGAGACAGTTTTGAAAGACAGTCATTGATTCAGCTCCATGACTGAGCTCTGTCTATGGATCGTGGCCAGACCATTAATTCACATAGGTTGTGTGCCAGGCTACTCAATTTTAGAATAGGTTTGAAATGTCTTTTATTGGTGTTCAAATCACTGAATGGGTTGGCTCCTATTTGACATATTGCAGCCATATGTCCCTGCTGGCTCTGAGAACCAGTTGTTGCTTTTGACTCCAGGGACTCGGCTGAAGACGAGGGGGGATTCTCGGTAGCTGGAACGAGCTTCACTTATCTATTAGGCTTCCTTCATGTGGCGCTCTTTAAAACTAGGCTGAAGACCTGCTTTCATGATCTGGCTTTCAACTCTGTGGGTTAGCAGTTTCTATTATTTTATGCTTTTATTTTGTAAACTGTACCGCTTTGTTGGTTTTATCTGTTTTTTTAATACCTTTAAAGTACTTTGGTGACATGATTCATGTCAGTAAGGTGCTATGTAAATAAAGGACGAGTTGAGGTGAGATTTTTTGACGCTCAAAAATATGTCATTTAGAATCTTTTTCTTAATTAGTTATTGTTTATTTTGATTGTATACTCTAGAATATGCGAACGATGAAACCATATTTATGCATTAATACAGGATAATTCTGAAGGAGAAATCAACAAATGCACATTTATTATTATTTTTGCCAAATATGGATGATTTTTGTTCCCAATGGCTTAGTTTTTGTTTTACAAATGCCATAATTTAAATTTCATTCTCCTCCCTAATTTAAATATAAATGTAAAATGTGATCTCAGATTCGTCATTTTAGCCTCATAGCTTTACTGGGGTCAGTACAAATCTCAACATTTATTACTAAAAGATTAGTTACAACCATAAAGTTTTTCATGAATTTTCTCTAAAACATTTGTTTTACAACTAACCTGTAAATACTCTAAAAACCAGGTTTAGACTCATAAATTTCTCTGGTAATTGTTGTTTTCAATGTTTAATATTTTTCACATTCTTTTACTTTGTTGGCGTTCCACCGTAAAACAACACCCCTGCTGTTAAAGGCACCATGGGAGATGCATAGACAAAAGGGCATGTGTCAAGTGAAACTGCGCAGTGCAGCCTGGGATGTGCTGTTTTAATAAGCTAAACAATCTCAGATGTGTCTGATGATAAATATTTCCAAAAAGACCAAAATTCATTTGTTTCTCCTCATGCTGACAGAATATTTCAAGAACCCATGTCCAAAAAAGTCACTGTTTTAAAGTGTAATCCAAAAAGTTATTGTGTGTAACATGAAGTGGGTTCCCAAAGTTGGGGTTGAGACTCCTCTGTGGGTCACCAAGAACAACATGAGGGGTCTTGAGCTGATTTAAATAAAACTAAAATTGAAAAACAATATCTGAAGCTATATTTCTGTCATAAGTGTTACAAAATCTCAATCAAGAGGTCATAAATGGATATGAGTGGATGTGAATAAGTATATTTTTCTTGTGAAATCAGAAATATATAGGGTCATGTGGCTTGGTAATTGATATTTTTGTGGTTCTAAACTAATCTCCCTACAGACTTTAAAGCTGCTTCAAGTCTTCCATTTATTTCCATGCCACAGGGTGGCCACCTTGCTTTGAGAGGCTTGGAGACAAAGATGACATTCAGATGAAGAATTTTGCAATTTTATATCAACTTTACATCATTCGCGTCCACCTGACGAATCACCTTCTGGAGGATAAACCGGCTCCTCAAAGTGAGTTAGCTAGGGAGGACATCACAGACATCAGCAAGGAGAGATCATGGAGAATTCAGCTCACAGTTCTTGGTGTGTTGAGCTCTGCAGACCTGAGGTAAGACGCCTTTTGATCAGAATCAAAACTGACATCCGTGACGCGTTTGTAAAGCTGTCAACTCTGTGAAATCTCAAATTTCCCCATGATGTTACTTTCATCTTGGAGATTGTTAAACACTCGTCACAAATATTTTTGTTTTCTAATATGTCCAAGGGGCGAATCCCATCCAGTAAAGCGGCCTCTGCTGTGGTCCATCACCTCCTGAGATTTGGAGTTGTGCTTCTCGTCGCTGCAGCCGTTTATATGCTGTGTGCTTCTTTCTACCTCTGGAAAGCCGGTGACAAAAACGTAGGTGGTTGATTGTTGCTGGCATTTTACGTTTCAGTTGCAAACATCAGGCAGGCGCTAATTCTGAAACTGCAAACAGACATAATTGCTTGCAATTTTCCAAAGATTGTCATGAAACAGGAAGAAATTAGTGTAAAGATATCAAATCTTTGCTGCAATCTTCTCTGTACAAGTCACACAAATTAATCCTGGAGTCATTCTTCACCTTATGAGCAACAGAGTGATGTTTATTTGTGTTCTAATGAGCACGCATGTGGGGCAAACCTCCTCCTCCAGCTCTGCAACAGCCTCTCCTGTGGTGCTTTACGCAAATTCTCAGTGTGCTACAACTACAGAGGATTTCCTGCATGGAAAATGTCTGCAAGGGGGGGAAACAACACGATCAACACGGAGCGTGTTTCCATCCTCGTTCTTGGGTTTACCACTTTGTGATTTATGCGACTTGACTAATCAGTCGTTTGAACGTCTTATTTTGAATCCTGCCAGGTTTACAACGTTCGTTACAGCGTGAACGTCAACGGGGAGGTGAGGGGGGGCTCTGTGGAAATCGATTCTGACAACAATCTGGGGAGGTTTGAAACTACCGGCAGTGCTGGGAAAAGTGTGGAGATTCATGACTTTCAAATTGTGAGTAAGTTTGTCCTTGTTCTCTCTTCCTGGGCTCAGCAGAGACCTTCTGTGTGCTTAACAAAGTAGCAATGCTGTGAGTGTAAACATGACATCTCTGTGATTTGGTGCAGGGAATAACTGGAATCCGCTTCTTTGGAGGAGACAAGTGCTTTATAAAATCCCTTATCAAAGCAAACCTTCCACACATGAGAGCTCACAACAAAGAGACGCAGATGTTTGACCTGGTGTGTGCACAGATTCACACACAAAGTCAAGAATTGGAAATGAAGAAATATATTGCCATGTTAATCTGAGTAATTCTGCATATTTTTTGTTTGTTTTCTTGTCAGACTGATGAATTAATGCCAGTGAGGTTCGACGATGAGTTCCTCATATGGGTTGCAGAAGAGAAACCGGTGAAGAATGTCACGTTTCTGACAAGCAAAATTCTGGATTTTTGTGGAGATCTTCCTGTTTTCTGGCTGCAGTCTGTGTATCTCAAAGGTCACATTTCTTATGCTGTTTACACAACATGTATTAACTTTATCTAATGAATATAATGCTTTAGAATGCCACAAGATCAGCTTATTTAATTACTGTTGCCTGGTTTTGAATAGAAAAATGCATTAGCTTGCACTTCAAAGCCATATAATATGTCTGTCTGTTAAAGGGGACATAATATGACTTTTTTTCTTGAGTTATAATAGTTCTATGATCAAAACCGAAACTGTTCATGAAGTTTTTTGCAGCAAACTCCTCTCACATAAAACTAGTTCAGCTGTTTTATTCTTGAAAGTTTCAGTAATTTCCAGAATGAGTCGCTTCAGGGCTCTGTCACTTTAAGAAACTAAGCAAAATTGACCACGTCCACTCCTCTCCTTCCTGCACAGGCTGCTGTAAGCTGAGATGCTCCAACATCCGGGAAATGGCTTGATTAGAGCCATTGCTCCTCTAACAGCAGCTCTCTCTTACACGTGAAACGTGGTTCTGTTCCAATTTTCTCATTTGTGATGCCACAAAAGGGGATTTTTTGAAACAGCTTGTTTTAGGCATAAAAATCCTCAAACCGAACACTGACAGAAAACAAATGGATGTTCTTTTTCACATTGTGAGTGTTTTTAGAAGCAATAGAGACCCACATGGCAGCTCAAAAGGAAAGACATGTTATTCTTTTAAACCTTTCACACTATACTTTAAACTAAGATCTTCTTCTGTTGAGAAATTATGGAGCTAAATCTATTAGCACCCACAGTATGTGCTGGGGATGACTCAACCATTCTATTCTGCTTTCCCCACTTGTGCCATCACAAATGGTGACTGTTTGAAAGGACTTCTTTCAATATTTTTTCTAAAACCACACTGACAAAACAATGGATGAGCGATTTATTTATTTATTTATTTATTTGTTTGTTTGTTTGTTTGTTTGTTTGTTTATTTATTTATTTATTTATTTATTTATTTGTTTGTTTGTTTTTCAAATTTGGAGTGTTTATTTAGAAGGTAGAGCCCCACATGGCAGCTCAAAAGGATGCAAAAATTAAGTTTTTGACATGGTTTGGGGAATGCGTTTAACCCAAGACATGCAGAATCACACACTCACAGATCTTATGGTACAAAAAAGAATCTTTATTTTAAAATGGGAACTGAAGGTGCACTGGAGAAGCCCAGTGGAGATAGAGAACGGGAGTGCAGCGTCTGAGGAGGGGAGAGCAGATAGAGGTGAGTCCAAGAAGGTAAGTCTAAACTAGTTATCCTCGGCTCTCTTTATGTTTTTGGGGACGCAATGCTGGCGGTGTAGACGACAGTGGCATCCTGACCAATCACAAGCTTGCGTTGTCCGTCTCGACTGACGGATGTTTAGAAAAGAGAGCTCGACTCCATCCGTCCTTGCGGAGCTCTCCGGCAGGCCCACAAGGACGTTGCGTGTCTCTGCACTGACGCAGACGGAGAAGCATGAATCAGGCTTTACTGGGAGTAGGGGAGTATAGGAATGTTGGGTGCCGGGGTGAATTCAAGTGGGGTGTCCAGGAGAGGAAGCGAGAGGAGAGCAGGAGAGCAGGCCGGCCGGCAGAAATGGAGAACAGTGAGAGCTGCGTCCGGAAATCCTATGGGGCACAGGTGAGTAATCCTGAGGAGTCGCAGAAATCCAAAGACGTAATCCAGAGAAGTCACAGAAGTCCAAAAACATTCTAAAACCTGGTAACGGGTAAGCACAGGGAAAAGATCCAAAGGTTCACAGAAAATCCTAGAAACACTAGAGCACAAAATCCAAGAATCGCAAGAGGGCAGGAAACTACCAAGCTGTAGTAATCTTCTGGCATCGAGGAGTGTTCTCCATCCTCCTTTTGCATCCAGACCCGCTGATTGCAAATCAGCTGCAGCTGGAGCCTCCCTCTCCTGAAACACACAACTCAAAGATGGGAAAATGAGAGGAGTACTCACCCTGGCACATGACAGTCTTCCCCCACAACCCCCACACCCCCCAATGGACATCCTGACAGCAAACGCGGCCTCGTAGTCCCGGATCAGGGACGAATCCTCAATGAAGGAACTGTATAAACCAAACCACCCTTGTAGAATCGCGCAGGCAGCAGAGGAGCCGGCATAGGGCAGAGGAGGCTCGAAACCACAGACTTAACTAAGGACATGTGAAATACAGGGTGAACCTTAAGGGAAAGTGGGAGCTCCAACTGAACCGTGGAGGGAGTAGGGATGTCCAGTATCTTGAATGGACCTATGAACCTGGGATACAGCTTATGGGAGGTTGCCTTTAGCAGGATGTCCTTGGATGAGAGCCAGACCTCCTGACCAGGGGTGTAATCCAGAGCCGGGCGCCGCCGGCGATCCGCCAGCCGTTTGTTCCTATCAGCTGTTCTGTCCAGAGCCGCCCGGGTGGAGGTCCCCCCCGGAGGAACTGCTGTACCATGGAGAGAGCCGAGGGCTGCTGGGGAAACAGGGATGGTTGATACCCTAAGGAGGCTTCGAAGGGAGACTGACCTGTTGAAGTTGAGACGTGACAGTTTCGGGCATATTGGACCCAGGCGAGGTGGGAACTCCAGGAGGATGGGTGAGCGGAGCAGATGCAGCAGAGCAGATGCAGCACAGCATTGCCTCGAGCTTGTGGTTCATGCACTCACATTGTTCATTAGTCTGTGGGTAGTAACCAGACGTGATGGCGATTCTGTCTCCTAGAGCCTTGGCTAACTCCTTCCATACTTTAGAGATGAACTGGAACACAAGCTTAATGAGCAGTTTTGCTGTAACTGTGGAAGAAGGAAGAGATTTTAACGATATGAGGTGGCAGGCTTTAAAAAAACGGTCCACAATGGTGAGTATCGTATTGAAACCATGGGAGTCTGGCAACCCGCAGACGAAATCCAAAGCTATGTGAGACCAGGGGCAAGAAGGATTCGGAAGAGGATTTCATAATCCCGCCGGAGACCGATGGCCCCCCTGTTGCTGGGCACAAATGTGGCATCCTGAGATGTCGTTCTTTACATCCTTGTACATTGCCGGCCACCAGAAAGTTCATCTTATAAGGGCAATTGGGCGTCCTGCTCCTGGGTGTAGAGAAAACATGCCAGTGTGTGCCCAGTGGATGACTTTGCCCCTCATAACTTGTGGTACATAGAGCCGGCCAGAAGGGCCCTTACCTGGACCTGGGTCAGTCTTAAATGCATCCAACACCTGATCCCGGATCTCCCATGTGACTCCACCCACCACACATGCCGGGGGAGAATTGTGGAGGGCTCGACCTCCTGATCTGGAGCGTACTGTCTAGAGAGGGCATCTGGTTTGGTATTCTTAGGACCTGGGTGATAAAATCTGGAAATTAAAACAGGAAAAGAAAAGAGACCACCTGTACTGCCGCGGGTTAAGCCTCTTTGCCTCTCTTAAGGAGACCAGGTTTTTGTGATCTGTCCATATGATGAAAGGTGTTTCAGCTCCCTCTAGCCAGTGTCCCCATTCCTCTATTGCAAGCTTCACGGCCAGAAGCTGTCTGTCGCCCACGTCGTATCTGCTTTCAGTGGGGGTTAAACGGTGAGAGAAAAAAGCACAAGAGTGAAGTCGATTGTCCGAGGGAGATACCCGAGAAAGCACTGCGCCTACACTGGTGTCTGAGGCGTCCGCTTCGAGTGTAAACTGGCGTTGGGGATGATCAGTTCGGTGGAGCACAGGGGTGTTTGTAAATCTCCTCTTTAGTGTCTGGAAAGCAGCCTTGGCTTCTGGGGACCAAACAAAAGGCCGATTAATAGAGGTCAAGTTTGTCAGAGGGGCGGCTGTCTGATTGTAGTTCCTGATGAACCTCCTGTAAAAATTGGCGAATCCCAGGACCCTCTGCAGTTGTTTACGGGACGTCGGTGTGGGCCATTCAGTGACTGCACGGACCTTCTCAGAGTCTGCCCTCAACCTCCCGCTCTCAATGATGAACCCTAGAAATTTTACCGTAGGGACATGAAACACACATTTCTCAGCCTTCACATATAGGCAGTTCTCTAGGAGGAGCTGTAACACAGACCTAACAGGCTTAACATGTTGTTCCTCAGAACTAGAGAAGATTAAAATATCGTCTAAGTAGACAGTCAAAAACTTATTCGAATAGTCTCCCACAACAGAGTTCACTAGGGACTGAAAAACAGCTGGGGCATTAGTCAAACCAAAAGGCATCACCAGATATTCAAAATGTCCGATGGGTGTCTTAAATGCAGTCTTCCACTCATCCTCCTGACAAATCCATACCAAATGGTATGCATTTCTAAGGTTCAAACGACTGAAGATGGTGGCATCCTGAATGGGCTCAAAGGTAGAAGTTAACAATGGCAGAAGGTACTTATTCTTAACAGTTAAGGTTGGTTTATGCTTGATGCGTCCGCGAGGTCTGCACGGCTCCGCGCGGCAAAATTGCATCATTTTAACAACCACGCCCCTCCACCGCTCCTCCGCACGGCCCAAAATTTCAGCACAGCGCACCTAGGAAATTTTCTAACCACACGAACGGTCGGACGTGGAAAAACATGGCGGACTGGCAAGAACTAGTATGGCAGAGGTTCGTAAATACAGACATTTGTGTGATTCAGCTCTCAAAGATCACCGTGATCAACATGTTGTTAATAATTCTTGGAGAGAAATAGCTCGCACTGTCGGAAAAGACGAGGACGCTGTTAAAAAATGCTGGAATGCCATGTTGTAAACAGTAATTTCTACTTCTACTATGGTGTAGTGTTGGATGCATGCCGTAGAGCTCCATGCTGCCCCGTTCAGTTTGGGAGAATATTGGCTCACCGCAGAGACAAGCCGCATGAACCATAAACGCTGCGAGTTGTGAAGCGCGTTCCATCCGCGAGCCGCATCACCAAGCGGAAAGTGAATGCGTCAAGCATAATCCAAGCTTTATCTGATTAAGAACCCTGTAGTCGATGCAGGGTCTGAGCGTTACCTCCTTAGGAAAAAAGAAAAAAGTAGCTCCCAGAGGTGAGGAGGAAGGTCTGATGAGTACGGCGGCCAGAGACTCCTGAATGTAGCTCTCCATGCTCGCTCTCTCTCTCAGGCTTCGAGAGGTGATAAAGGTGGCTGGAAGGAAGAGGAGCTCCGGGCAGCAGATCTATGCTGCAGTCGAAGGGTCTGTGAGGAGGAAGTGAAGAAGCCCGTTCCTTACTGAAAACTTGACTGAGGTCGTGGTAGACCGGTGGCACTGCAGATAAGTCAATCTTTTCCACCGGAGGGGCAGCGGGACTGCGGAGGATCGGAGAGGCTGGGCGGAGGCAGGTCTGTGAACATTCGGTGCTCCACTCCTCTACTCGGATCGTTTTCCAGTTCACGTGGGGGTTGCGGAGAGACGGCCAGGAGTGACCCAGGACCAGCGGAGACTGAGGAGAGGGAAATACATTAAAAGCCAAAGTCTCCGTGTGGTTACCTGACACCCGTAACTGCAGAGGGATGGTCTGGTGAGTGATGGTGGATAGGTTCCGGTCATCCATAGATGACACAGAGAGAGGAGTAGGTAGCCAAACAGTAGGGATCTTCCATCTCTTCACCATGTCAGGGTCCATCAAAGATTGCTCACAGCCAGAGTCAACTAGTGCCTCAAGTGTAAACTGCTCAGAACTAAAAAACAGAACACTGGAGCATGCAACGGGAGCACGCAGAGGCTGAGTGACTGCCCACCAGTAGTCACGTCTTTACTGGTGGGCTCTGCCTTATAACAGTACTGGGCAGGCTCTAGCGAAGTGTCCAGACTCCCCACAATATAAACACAGATCTCACCTTACACAATGTTGTCTCTCCTCTAGGGTGAGGCAAGCTCTTCCCACTGTTCTGCACGAGTTCAACCAAGGAGGTGGGCTCTGCGGAGGAGCGAGGACCCGAACCATGATTATGGTCAGGAGTGAAGGCGGTTCTGGCTCTGGAACTCTGGTGCCTCAGCTCATGATGGCGCTTATCGATGGATATAGCCAGGCAAATGAGTTCCTCCAGCAAACGGGGTTCCGGGCACAACGCCAGCTGGTTCTGGACTCGGTCGTTGAGGGACTCAGTGAAAGCAGCGAGAAGGGCATCTTCATTCCAGGAAGACCGTGCTGCCAAAGTTCAGAACTCCACCGACATATCCGCCACCAATCTCTGACCCTGCGATAAATTCCATAGCCATTTCCTGATATCCGTAACGGACTCAGTACTGCCAAAAGTCAGCTTGAAATCAGTTAAAAAGTCTTCAAAGGGACCAGATAGGAACATGGAACAGTGACTCTTCGCTTCCGCCCATCTCAGGGCTCTTCCACGAAGTAATCCAACAATATACAAGATCTTAAATGAGTCTGTGGTGAAAGCTCCTGGTGATCGTTCGAATGCGAGTTGACAATCTAAAAGGAAGCTGTAACAGTCCTCAAACTCACCGCTGAAGGTCAGAGATGGCAGTGATGTGGCTGGACGGAAGTGGGTGATTTCCGTGGTAACTGCTGCTTCTGGTCCGGGGACAACAGGAGTAGCAGAGGCAGCCAGCGGGGGTTCCGAAGCGGAGGCCTGAGTCTGCGGTTGGGACAGCCTGTTGTGTATCTGACGCACCAAGGCCTCCAACTGCTGGTACTGGTTGTTTGCTGTGTGTAACTGCTCCATTAGCAGTGACAGGGCTTGTTCTTGTTGAGATAACCTGTGGAGCAGATCAGTGAGAGGTGTGTCTGCGTGGTTAGCGGTTTGGCCGGATGATTCTGACATGGTTAGGGGATTGCATTTAACCCAAGACATGCAGAATCACACACTCACAGATCTTATGGTAAAAAAAAGAATCTTTATTTTAAAACGGGAACTGAAGGTGCACTGGAAAAGCCCAGTGGAGATCGAGAACGGGAGCGCAGCATCTGAGGAGGGGAGAGCAGATACAGGCGAGTCCAGGAAGGTAAGTCTAAACTTGGTGGGGGCAGAGAATAGACTTACTGGGAATAGGGGAGCGTAGGAATGAGGGAGGGTAGGTTGGGTGCTGGGGTGAATCTAAGTGGGGTGTCCAGGAGAGGGAGCGAGAGGAGAGCAGGAGAGCGGGCAGGCCGGCAGAAATGGAGAACGGTGGGAGCTGCGTCCGGAAATCCTATGGGGCACAGGTGAGTAATCCTGAGGAGTCGCAGAAATCCAAAGACGTAATCCAGAGAAGTCCCAGAAGTCCCAGAAGTCCAAAAACATTCCAAACCTGGTAACGGGTAAGCACAGGAAAAAGATCCAAAGGTTTGCAAAAAATCCTAGAAACACTAGAGCACAAAATCCAAGAGTCGCAAGAGGGCAGGAAACTACCAAGCTGTGGTAATCATCCGGCGTCGAGGAGCGTTCTCCATCCTTCTTTTGTAACCAGACCCGCTGATTGCAAATCAGCTGCAGCTGGAGCCTCCCTCTCCTGAAACACACAACTCAAAGATGGGAAAATGAGAGGAGTACTCACCCCAGCACATGACAGTTTTGCACAAAATGTCCCCTTTAAAATTTGACAAACTACTTTACATAAGCAGAACCACCTTTTGTTTTTATGGAAAATTTACTTTTACATCATTGTTAGTTTTCTGGAGAATTTGAAGTGACATTGTTCATCGTAATGCAAATGCTGCATAGAAAAACACGGAGCAAGCTGAAAATATGAACTCTGATTTTGAAGCACTTTTTTGTGGAAACATCATTACTTCATTCAGTATTAAGGGGGGCAAACAATTTTCATTCTTAGTGTTATATTGCTGTAGATAGGCCATTCTTTTATTAAAAGATAGGCTATTAAAATGTTAACACAACACTTATATTAATCTTAAAGGTGCAGTATGTAAGAATATTATGAGAATTTTTCTGTAAGAAAATCCCAAAAGAGCCTAATGCTTCAGTCATTTTGGAAGGAAGGTTATACTGAAACATATCTCATATATCCATCTGACTGCGGAGATTATCAGTTTAGCTCCTTTCAAAACAAAAGACGGAGGGACTGTTTACCACCAGTGAGTGTCGTAGTGCCGTGCCTCCTGCGAACTAACACTGCAGCACCAACAATTGTATTTTGACGACGGCCGGCAAAAGCTCCAGAGTTGTTTAAAGTGGTTGCAGTAACCAAATTTTACCACAGGATGTCATTTTTACTTCATTTCCACATAATGCACCTTTAAACATAGATCATGATTCAGATTCAGATCAGTTTTGGTCCGTTATAAGAAGCCACGTCAGACGGGTTTCACTTTTGAACAACAACAGCAGGCAGAGACGTCGTGTCTGTTATTAATGCTTTCAAATAAGAAAAGCCACAATTCTAAAACTCACCACAGTCAACTCAAAGCAAACCGCTTTCATGTTTTTTTCACAGCCTATTAAAATCTTAGCTGTTCTTCTCTGCTGACACACGTGTGAAATTTTACATCCTCGGCTCAGAAGTTGGTGAAACATTCGAACATCTAGAACATACACTAAATTTAGAGCTGAACAGCAGGAGGGGAGAAAAAGACTAACAAAGTCTTGTATTAAAAAAGAATGAACTTGAAATATGCAACGCTGCGTGATATCACTGCTGCTAAGTGAATTATTCAAGACGTCTGAGACAGCTCCAGCTATGTAGGATTGAGCTCTGAGGACATGCATGGCGTCTCGTGGATGTTGACCCAGTACTCTCGCCTCATGTGGATGCCTGTAACAGATGGGGAGAGGAAAGAGAGAGGCGCACGGCGAGCCAAACGGCAGTTAGGCATGGAGGAGATCAAGGCGGATGCTGAGGAGAGTACCGCGGCGGCAAGAGTTTTGGACGAAGAAGAAGAGTCAGCTGCAGGGTCAGCGTACAATCCCGAAAACCCTTTCCATGTGAGTAACAACTTCATCAACAGCCCTGTTTACAAAGAGCACGACTCCGCAGTTGGTGAATTTTTGATGAGCTATCAACAAACACACTCTGTGCCCTGAAGCAAGGCTCAAAGTGATGTTTTAAATCAAGGCTTTGCTTTTTTAACACCCACAAATAACTTAATTACAGCAAATTTAAGATGCCAGCTTTGTTAAAAATGGATGCTCGCTCAAATAGAAGCATAGAGAGAGGAAATGTGTTAACCTGGATCAGCTGTGGGTGGTTCATGCTGCTGCTGGTGCTGCTATGGTGAAGGTGTCATTCTGGCAGCTTAAATTACAGGTCACCTGGGAAAAAGCTGCCATTTCAACTTGATGAACTTATAAACTGATGTAAAAACTCCCACCGGCTATAAAAATTCATGCTGCCTGGAACTAATCACATTCCTTGAGAGGATGGGGAGGTTGTTTGTAGCCATTTGAATTGCAAATAGTTGCAGATTTAGAAGATGTTTCAAACTAAAACTGTTGCTTGTTGTAAAAGAAATGTGATTTTTGTAAACGCAGCGCAGCGGAGACAGCAAAGACGAGAGCGCCCTGACCTTTGACAGCATTTTGGACCGCCAGGGAATCTGCTGCTCGGAATGCCAACGCAGTTACACACACTGTCAGCGAGTGTGTGAGCCTCTGCGCGGCTATTGGCCGTGGCCCTACAACTACAGAGGGTGCCAGGTAGCCTGTCGAGTCATTATGCCATGCCGCTGGTGGGTGGCTCGAATTATGGGTGTTGTTTAATGCACCAATCTCTTTATCTGGAAGGAGACATTTGTTTGTGTTTTTCTTTTCCCATACGAAGATCCTTACAGACGTCAAACCTGTTTCAGATGTCTCAGAAAACGTTCATTTAGTTCAGACCAGAATGATAATGGCTACTTTGAGCAAGGTAAAAACTAAACAGAAAAAGAAAGCAAATGCATCGTTGGTGCTAGCTGCTGCAGCCGCAGGCTCTTCCTGTGGGAATTTCATCAAATTCCTGCCAAAATGACTTTGTGATTGGAAACCGTCAAAAGAATAAAGATTAATAAAATAGCTGTCACATAAAATGCTAAGGATTTTAGTGATTGGAGTTGTTTTAAGATGACAAAATGCACTTTGTTTTGGCTGGTCGTTAGCTTGTCAGTCTTGTATTGTAAACTATTTTTCTTCCAGCTTTTACTCAGTGCACACATGGAGTTCCAAGGTTAATGCTGCCATAATGCCAGGCCTGATGATGAGTAGATTGTGGACTGGTAATAAAATTATCCTGACTCTTATAAATCGTCTGGTTTGCTTGTTTTTTTTCTTTCTATATTGAAACTAGAATACAAAAGTGCTGGTAGGATGTTGAGTAGGAAGCTTGGGACTAAGGCCCTGTCCACACGTAGATATTTTTCTACGTTTTGGCCTGTCATTCACACGAAAACTGAGTTTTTTCACACAAAAACGGATCTTTTAAAAATCTCCGGCCAAAGTGAAGATCTGCGTTTTCTCCGTTTTGGGTGTCTGCGTGTGGACAGACAAAACCGGAGTTTTAAGCTCCACAACGTCACTTTCCACGACAAAAAAAATGCTGACATCACGTGTGCGACCTGTGTTTACACTAGCCGACAGCATGGATGCCCTCAGAGCTGCGCTCACTTTATCAATTAACCAAGCGCTTTTTGCTTGTTTGTTTTTGCAAGCGGAATTACTGCTCCTTGCAGAAGACCACAGACGAAGGACGAGGTTAAGAACGGGGGAAGTACTGCCGACTACAGGTCTGGCATGTCCTTAACAACGTATTTATCCGGGTACGTGTAGACAGAGTTTTTTTTTCTTTAAACGAGGTGGTGTGGATGCAAGTTTTTGGAGGGGCGGATATTCGTTTAAAAAAAAACCCGGCTACGTGTGGACTAGGCCTAAATCCAAAGACGCAGCAGATCGTGTACCTTCTCTTACTGAACCAGCTTCAATAAATTCTAATTAGTGTCAGCTGGCTTTGATGTTTTTCTTGTCACATGTTTCCATGGTTTCACTGGGTGTTTTATTTTATTTTTCTTAATTTTTTTTTTTTTTTCTACTTTGACAAAGCTGAAGTGACAGCAACAGTTGCCGTAACTTCCATTCACAGCTAGGATTCAGTTTGAGGGCAACACGATTTGTGCAGTTTGACATCTGTATTGATGTGAACTAACGCGACATGAGTGTTGTGGCAATGATGGAAAACGTTTCCGTAAAAATGACAGTTTTATTCAATAAACTTTTGTTTTTGAAGCAGAGAGAAAAGTGTGAATGTTGCATTAAACAATATAGTAGAAACACTTGAATTGTGGCACTGGCGAGTCTAAATACCTCCCAATCTAAAGATACCAGATTAGTATCTCTTCTCAAGGCACGTGACGACTTTTAAAATAAGCAAAAGGAGCCATGTTGTGATCAAGACGATTTCACACAGGGTTATCCAGGCACATCAAATTACAACAGATGTGAAATTGCACCATATCTGCCTCTAAAGCTGCATTGAAACTCTGAAGCAGTGCAGAGAAGCAACACAAAGAGATGCTTGTCTTTTTTGCTCGGAGATTTTTCCTGGTTTTCACAGGGGTAGAGGTGCTTATCACATCTGCAGTGCCGATAAGACGGCCTCCGTGCTTCCGTAGGCTATACAATATTAATCCCTCTCCCACGTCTGCAGATACACTTAAAGGAAGGTGACAAGCATGACATATCCAGGACCTCCTGATGGCTCGTGCTCTGGAGTGCAGCCGCTAAAAGAGCCCCAAGTACCCTCAAGTGATGTAAATTTGCAGGGGGAGTCCAATTTCCATCACAGTGCTGTCACTGCCATGGTCATTAAACTAAATCATCCCGCTGTGTGTCACACAGCTCCCATTTTAAAGTCCCCTCAATAATGGAGTTATACTTGGACTGCAGATTGCAGCACAGCAGTGAAACGTCCGACCTGACATCACCTGTAGAACTAATCGGAACAGTATTTCATCTTAAGAAATCGGAAGTAGACGGCATCTATGGATGTGAGGCAAAAATCAGAATTTTTTAATCACTTTTTCACGAAAATCCCGCCTACTGCAGTTTAACAGAAGAGGGGAAAAAACGATGCGTGCGTGTTTATTTGCTACTGAGACGTAAATTGGTACGTGCGTTTTCAATCTTGGGACTCGTTGATCTAACGGCACAGCGCAAAGAGCTCCCAGTTTAGACAAACAGATTAAAACACACTAACAAAAAAGCCTCGCAACAGCAGCAACGGGTATGGCATTTAAACTGTGGAAAAATACATATACAGCTCAGATCAACAGCAGTTTTGTTATCCCGAGGCCCTGTTTGGAAAGAACTTGTCTCTTTTTGCCATCCCTCTGTTTCCTATGAAGAGAAATGCAGCCCCATTGAGTAGAAAGATGAATGACACTGTCTCCCGTCTGGAGCTGAGCTTACCCTGGGAGCCCTGCAGGCCAGGGAACAAACAGGGCTTTGTGAGCACCGACCCACTGTGCCCAGCAGCCAGACAGCAAACCTCCACTCCCGTGCTAATAAGAAGCCACAGATGAGGAATCCGTTCAGCTTACAGGGGAGGGGAGCTTTCTCGCGTCCACCTGTGCTTTCATCATTGCCCAACAAAACAAGCAAAAGACCAGGCGGGTTTGCTGTGCATGGTGAAAGTTCCTGCAACACAGTCTGTGCAGGAAAGTGTGGCTCCATTGTGATTTATTCGATTGCAGGAATTTGAACTAATCAAGGCTACGCAGTCACCCGAGTCCCCCGTAAACACGTCAGAAGCCTGTCATAAATTTACCCGTTTTTTCCCTCAAGAGGCACGAAAAGTGTGAACAGCAGTGAGAAGTGAACCACTCAAGTCGACGTGTCCTACATTTGATTGCATGTTTTCCATTACATCCAGACATGAATGCCATAAACAGTAGTGACAGTCCATTTTGCACCTTAACGATGAACACAGAAACCCTTTTAGGCTACCTCATTATGTTTGTCTGCAAGCAAGCACTGCAGTACATTTATAGATGCTGGCACCGGAGAACCTGTAACCCGCAGTTTTGCACCAGCAGCAACAACTCCAGCTCCAAACATTTGTCTTTTTCTTTTCTCTTGAACAGGCAGAAATGCACGGCTGGATGAAGGAGTGTTCTGGTACAAGGCTCAAATGCTTTTTAATCCCACGGTTGAGTGACCACTTGCAGTTCTGTCCAGTTCTCCGCTTGATGTTTGCAGGTTCCTCTGAAGTTTTCCTGCCATTTTCTCCCTCTCAGAACTCCCTCCTGTTTTGTATGCAAGCCTCAAATGGTTGTTAATCAAATGCCTGCTAGTGTTGCACAAAGAGGTGTGACTTGTTTATTTCACTGAGTTAAAACTCCTGATACCAGCTATAGACCTGCCTTGCATTTGGTAAATTATTTTCAACGTTATGAAACATTATAGCAATTACTCTGCACACGCTGTGGGGACTTTCTCTTTTTTACCCTGTGTATTGCACTTGGTTGCATGGTGTCCTTGTTACACTTAAATAGAAAACCTGCAGTGAGGTGTGGGTGTAAATTGGACACAGTTCTGGAATTTGCACCACTGCTCTCCTAAGGAACTACTGTATGTGTGACAGTTAGTGTGGTGGAGGTGCCCAACCTCCTGTGGATGTCAAAAGTTCTACTGAAAAATGGTGGGCAGAGGTCTTTGAAGCATGTGTCTCTAAAATGATTCAGTATTTATTTTAGTTTCAACAAACACTTGTTAAAAAAAAATCCCATTTTTACTTGAATCATCAGTAAATTTCCAAATAAGTTAATTTCTTTGTATGTAAGAAATCTTGTGTCTTTGAACAACCTTGATTTAGGAAACTAAAAAAATTTTGTATTGCATTTGTGTTTAGCATGGGTACGATCAAGGTTGATTTTTGCTGTCACAAAAAAAATCTGTTTTCATAACCATAAATATAAAAGTGCTTCTATAAAACTGAGCTTCTCTGTCAAGTTTGCATTCCAGTTATCCTTGCAGAAATGTTGTGACACTCCTTCAGGAAGTGCCTCAGGGCTGCACAGGAAATGCTGCAGCAAGGCTGCTGTTGCATTTTCTTCTGACAAATAATGATAAAACTTTACATAAAAAACACATGTAGTGCAAAATGAATGGCAAATATTTTTATGGTAGACATGAAATACTATGAAAGGTTTGAGATTGGAGTTGCTTCATGCTACCACTACATATTCCAAAGCTTCTTTTGCATTCTTTACACTGTAAGATATTATGTTACAACCTGTAGCGGTGATAAAATGAAGGATGGGGTGTAACACAAACGGCACGTGCAACGTGGAAAGCTTCAAACAAATGTTTAATATGAAAAAAATTAAAAGTATTGGGGCTCCCACAATGGTAAAAACACATTTATTCACGCTATTTGACTCCTGAGTTTTTAAAATTTCAAATAGAATACTTTAAACTCACCACAACACTTTTACAAACAAAGATTCTTTGACCATACACACCTATTCTGTTTAAAAACAAACACAACTAAGGCCCAAGACTATAAAACAAACATATCTCACTTTAGCTCCTCAGTAAAAACCATTAAAAGCCAATTAAACCAAAAGTGGGGTAGCTGGGGGAGACAATACAAATTTGATCCCCTGCCTTGTTTATACTCAGGTGAAGCTGTTTCTGCTGAAGTGAGGAGGAGGAGGAGGAGGGGCAGAAGCCCATACTGGGTGTGTCTCTGTCCTGTTGAAGGACTCTGGACGGCAGAAGATGGCACTAATTTGAATCCACGACAAATATGGAGCAGCTGTAACTAAAAAAGGTTGAGAGAGAGAGAGAGAGAGAGAGAGAGAGAGAGAGAGAGAGAGAGAGAGAGAGAGAGAGAGAGAGAGAGAGAGAGAGAGAGAGAGAGAGAGAGAGAGAGAGAGAGAGAGAGAGAGAGAGAGAGAGAGAGAGAGAGAGAGAGAGAGAGAGAGAGAGAGAGAGAGAGAGAGAGAGAGAGAGAGAGAGAGAACTTTTCCTGAGTAAATAAAAAAAAACTGCCACAAGTAAGTAACGGTCGCTTGGCTAGAATTTTTTTGCTGCTTGAGAATGTTGCTTGGCTGGCCATTGGTAGTTTTTATTTTCTCGGAACAAGAACATTTGGATCATATTGAAGAATATGTACCTCATTTTAAGTAATGCTGTTTTATTAGAGAATAATTTGTTGTCTATGTCTAAAACTGAGGCTGTCTGGGTCACTTCCTTAGAAATCAGTTTTCGCAGTGTAACGAGCGTGTTCCCTGAGAAACAGTTTCTTTACTTGATATTTTTGAAATACAATCGGTCACTCTGAGTTTCACAAGATGGCTGAATGTGATAACAGTCTGCTTCTTTTTCCTGGACTAGTTGCTGATAAAGCCACAGATATCTATATCACAGTATATTTGCATTAATGAACTCACCCATCTTGTCTCACAATGAGGAAATCTGTGTTGACTTTGCAGCCAGGAGAGATGCTGGTACAAGCTAACCATTAGCATTAGTAACTTCACAGCATGACAGATCTCCCTCAAACTTCTGTTATCGGTGGAGATGAAACATCAGTGCTGCTAAACGAGCAAAGGCAATGGAAGAGTTTTGTTCCTGTTAGCCAATCAGAGGTGAGATGTCCAAATATCACGAATAATATTGAATAAGGCTCTGATTCAGTCTTTTTCTTCCCCCCTCTGCTCCAGCAAACTTCTACTTCCTGAAACAGGAGCAACAGAGCATTTCATCCACAGGAAACAACCCACAAGGCATTAATTTGAACTAGAGAGCACCGCAAATGTATTGAAAAACAAGTGAATAAGAGCTTTAAAATCAGCGTAATATTTTAGCAGTTGAAATTATTCAGATGCATCTATTTATCTGTCTCGGCCTGCTCAGGTTAGCTGCTAGCTCGTCAATCCCTACTTTGCCAAACTGAAGACTTTCCAGCCGTCTACAAAAGACAAGACATTAATTGTTCATAACCTTTCTCAGAGAACCCCACTTCAAAGGATCTCAACCATCACGTTTAGTCCTTGTAGGAAGCGATCCAGAAGTTACACATTACTTGACGCGGGTTGAAAAGGCGCTATAGATAGCTCAAAGCAGAATCAAATGAA